TGCCGCCGTTCAATATTTCGATCATGCCTTCGACGCATGGGAGGCTGTGGTGGCGGGATCTGAGTTTGCTGGGAAACTCGATCGGGAGGCAATGAGGCTTGCACTTCCCGACCCAGATGGTTATGAAGGCGATTCGTCCCTTCCGGACGACTACCCATGGTGGACGGGTCTCGAGGCGAAGGCTGTCCGAGAGGCTAAGCTCACCTATCAACTGGATGCTCCCCTGCCTTCCCCCATCCATCCTGTCGGGCCCAGTCATGATGATCAGGCCGTGACCATCCTCGAGGGGAGCGACGAAGATGTTATATCTTAGTTGTACTTTCGAGGCTTATTGCCTTTTATTTGTTGTTTATTCTTATTGTCTGTTCTGGTCTCAATCTGATTTTTTCCAAATTGTAAAGGTTGAGACGACTCTTGTAATGAATCTATTTTAAATATTATTCCTTATTTTATCTTTGTCTAAGTCGTCACGTTCCCGCAACGCTGTGTTCATGCCTTCCTCGAGTTTTTACTTGTAACTACGTGATTGTAGATTTATCGACATTTCATTTGCTTGCACATTTTGTAGTTAAAGTGATTTTGTAGCCGTAGGCGGGTTATGTTTGAGACAACTTTAGTTGTTTGAGTCGACTTTTGTAGTCGCGGGCTTTATAGCCTTGCCGAGATTTCGCTCGAGGCATTTAACTTTGTAGTTGTTTGAGTCGACTTTTATAGTCGCGGGCTTTATAGCCTTGTCGAGATTTTGCTCGAGGCATACAACTTTTTAGTTGTTTGAGTCGACTTTTATAGTCGCGGGCTTTATAGCCTTGCCGAGATTTCGCTCGAGGCATTCAACTTTGTAGTTGTTTGAGTCGACTTTTATAGTCGCGGGCTTTATAGCCTTGCCGAGAATTCGCTCGAGGCATTCAACTTTGTAGTTGTTTGAGTCGACTTTTATAGTCGTTCTAAATGACTTGATATTTCTATTTATGATAAAATCGACACGGAAATATAAAAAATCCCAACTTAAATATAAAATTGAGAGTTATTGCATTACTGAATTTGATTAGCCATGGTTCAGTACAAAAAGAGTTTGAAATTCTTAAGCATAAAAGCGTTTGAGATGAATCACGTGCCAGGATCGCGGCAGCTGTCGTCCTTCGCCATCTTCGAGTTCGTATGCGCCTCTTTTGAGTACTTTGGTGATGGTGTAAGGTCCTTCCCAGTTGGTTTCCAGCTTCCCGACATGTTTAAGGGCATCTGCTCGCTTGAGGACAAGGTCTCCCACTTGAAATCGCCTGGTGCGGACTTTCCTGTCAAAGGCTGCCCACATCTTTTGCTTGTACTCTACGGACCGCAGCCAGGCTGCCTCTCGCATTTCTTCTATCATGTCGAGGGCCTCTTTTGCTAGCTCTTCATTGGTCCTTTCCTCATAGAATGTCGACCTGTGAGATTCCAATCTAACCTCGATGGGCAATAGGGCGTCCATTCCATAAACCATGTGGAATGGTGATTGCCCCGTTGAACTTCTTGGGGTCGTCCTATAGGCCCATAGAACCGTTGTCAGCTCGTCGACCCAGGCACCAGATGCTTTCTCCAGTTTTTTCTTTAGCCCTTGCAAGATGGTTCTGTTTGTCACTTCGACTTGGCCGTTCGCCTGAGGGTGCGCAACTGAGGCGAATAGCTGTTTGATCCCCATGTCGACACACCACGCCTGGATCCGCTTTCCTTGAAATTGCGTCCCATTATCTGAAATCAAGATCTTTGGGATCCCAAATCGACATCAGATATTATTGAACAAGAAATGTATCATTTTGTCTTCAGTGATTTTTGCCAGAGGTTCTGCTTCTACCCATTTACTAAAGTAGTCAACGACAACCACCATAAATTTTCGTTGCCTCGTTCCCATTGGCAACGGGCCTACCAAGTCGATTCCCCTTGAGCAAAAGGGATCGGGCAGCTGATTGTCGTCATTGTTTCGGCTGGAACGTGGGGGATTTGACCATGGCGCTGGCATTTATCGCATCCTTGCACTAATCGTTCGGCTGCTTTTTGGATATTGGGCCAATAATAGCCTGCCCGAAGGGCTTTGCCAGCTAGGGCTCGTGATCATATATGTGCTCCGCAGCATCCCTCGTGGATTTCCTTCAAGACATGGTCCCCTTCTCTTTCAGAAACGCATCGCAGGTGGGGCCCGACCATCGACTTCTTATACAAGATTCCTTCGATCTCAAAATATTTACTCAAATATCGGGCTGCTTTCTCAGCCTCCTGCTTATCTCCTTCTGGCACTCGACTTTGTAATAGCTCGCGAATTGCTTTTCGCCAATCTTGGTTTTCATCGACCTCCATTGTCTCACTCAGGACACTTCCTTCCAAGTGTAGTGTTGTAATATGATTCCCCATTTTCCCTTCGTTCGAGCTTGCAATTCTTGCGAGCCAGTCGGCCCGCTTATTCTCTTCTCGAGGTACTTGCGTTAGCTCAAAGCTGTCCAAGCCTTGTACTAGGCTTTGAATTTCTTCGACATACTTTATCATCCGATCCTCTTTGATTTCGCAATTTCCCAATACTTGCCCCACAACTAGTTGTGAGTCAGAATGTGCCATGACTTCCGTCGCTCCGCCTGCGATTGCCAGTTGGATTCCTTTAATTAGGGCCTCATATTCTGCTTCGTTGTTTGAGGCTTTAAACCCCATTCTGATGGCGAAGTCGAGCTGTTCGCCTTCGGGGGATACTAGGGTTACTCCCAGACCAGATCCCTTGGCTGACGAGGACCCGTCGACGTGCATCATCCATTTCTTGCTTGCTCCTTTAGTCCCTTCTTGAATGAAGTCGGCTAGAGCTTGGGCCTTTATAGCTCGTCGAGGTTCGTATTTGATGGAGAATTCACTGAGTTCGACTTCCCATTTTACGAGTCGACCCGACACGATAGGTCGACCCAGTGTCTCTCCGAGCTGGAAATTTGTCCTTACTATTATCACATGGTTCAGGAAATACGGTCTCAATTTTCTGGCTGTGAGTACCAATGTTAATGCGGCCTTTTCAACTTCGGAATATCTTGCTTCTGCGCCTTGAAGCACTTGGCTTGTATAATAGATCGGCTGTTGGGCCCCTTCAGCTTCTCGCAGTAATACAGAACTCAAAGAGAAGATTCCCACCGAGATATAGAGCACCAATTCGTCGCCCGGCTCCGGCTTTGTTAACAATGGAAGTTCGCTCAAAAACTCCTTCGACTTTTCAAACGCCATCTGAGCCTCGTCACCCCACTGAAAAGCCTTTTTCTTGAGTAACTTGAAGAATGGGAAACTCCTTTCCGCCGCTTGAGCTATGAATCGACTTAGGCCTGCAATTCGACCTGTCAGGACTTGCACTTCTCTAACGTTCCTTGGTGGGGTCATGTCGAGTATGGCTTGCACTTTTTCCTTATTCACTTCGATGCCTCTTTCAGTTACGATATAGCCCAGGAATCGTCCTGCCCTTACTCCAAAGGCACATTTACTCGGGTTCAGCTTCATTCCAAATGTTCTTAGTGTCGTAAACGTTTCCCTTAAGTCCTCCACATGCGAGATCGAGGACCTACATTTCACCAAGATATCGTCCACGTAAACTTTCATATTTCGCCCGATCTGCGATTTGAACATTCGATCCATCAACCTTTGGTATGTTGCCCCTGCGTTCTTAAGTCCAAAAGGCATAACGACATAACAATATGTCCCTTTGCTCGTCACGAAACTAACTTTGCTTTGATCTTCAGGAGCCAAGGGAATTTGGTGGTACCCCTGGGACGCGTCCATCATGCTTAGCAATTGACAGCCAGTAGTGGAGTCGACCAGCTGGTCGATTCTCAGCAGGGGGTAGTGGTCCTTTGGGCAAGCTAAATTTAAATCGCGAAAATAAATACACATGCGCCACTTATTTAGCGCTTTTCTTACCATCACTGTGTTTCATATCCATTCCGGGAATTGAATTTCTTTGATATGTTTAGCTTTCAGCAACTTATCCACCTCGACTTCTATGGCTTTGTCAATCTCTGCGCCATGGTGTCTAAGCCGTTGCTTTACGGGCTTTTTCAGGGGGTCGACATTAAGCTTGTGCTCCATGACATCGGGATCGATTCCGGTTAGCTCTTCAGGGGAAAAAGCGAATATGTCCCTGAATTCTTTCAGCAATCCCACCAACTGTTGACGTAACTCTTCTTCCAATTCTCGCCCTATTTTAGTGGTCTGCTCCTCTCTTTCCCCGATTTGAATTTCCATTAATTCCCCATGCAGCTCGAGATCATTCTCCCTTCGTCTCTTTTCATTTGACACCGGCTTTTTTCCTTCTTTTACCTCCGTTCTTTGGTTTGTCCTTACTGCAATCTGATAACAGGTTCTTGACAGCTTCTGGTCCCCTCGGGCCTCCCCTACCTTATCTCCGACGGGGAACTTTAGCTTCATATGATAGGTTGACACTACCGCTTGGAACGCGTTGAGTGCTGGCCTTCCCAGAATCACATTATAAGCCGACTCAACGTCGACTACGACAAATCGCACCATTTTCACCTTCCTTAAGTCGCCTTTCCCAAGTACGACAGCGAGCGTGGTTTCCCCTAGGGGTGCAACTTCCGAGCCATTAAATCCAAAAAGTGAGGTGTGCAGAGGCGAGAGTTCGATGTCGAGTTCCATCCGTTTAAGACAATCGTAAAAAATCACATTCACCGAGCTTCCTGTGTCGACAAAGATTCTCTGGACTTCATAGCCCGATATCTGAGCTGTGATCATCAAGGAATCATTGTGAGGTCTCTCGACCGCTCCCATGTCTGCTGGTCCAAAATTCATCACTGGACCATCTTCCTCGACCTGTTGTACTTCGGTTTTTCCGTGATGCCCTCGAGCATATGCTTTTCTAGCCCAATTTGAATCACCATCGGTTGGCCCTCCGAATATCATATGAATTATTCCTCTTTTCTGGGGGAGCTCCTCCTTATCGGGTGTTCTTGCCCTCTTGTGAGGGCTTTTGCTTCTCTCTCTTCACCGACTGGATCGTTCTCGATCTTTATAAACGAATTCCTTCAGATGGCCTGCTTTGATTAGTCTCTCGATTTCATTTTTTAGGTGTCGACATTCATCGGTGTTATGGCCGTAGTCTTTATGAAATTGACAATACAGGTTACTTTTAGGTTTTGTCGGCCCATCCTTCCTTGTTCGTGGCCATCTGACAACATTTTCGCGTATCTCCTTCTCCATCACATCCAATATCCTTGCATTCGAGGCTAACAGAGGGGTATATTGGGTTGCCCTCCATCCCCTCGAACGGCCTTCTCTTTCGGACTTCGGGGATCCCTTCCTTTCAACCGTTGAGACCGGTTTTCTATCCTTCTTTTCGTCCTGAGACTCAGCTTTTGCTTTAGCCGCTTGTAAAAAGTCAGCTTCGGCTTCCTCGACATTCATGTATTTGGCGCACCTTCCCAATACTTCATCGAACGTCCTTCCGGGTTGTTTCGCTAGAGAATTTCTGCACAGTCCCGGGAGTAGCCCTCGCGTGAGTCCTCCCGACTTGATCTCCTCAGTAGCCGAGGGGACGTCGACACACGCCCGTGTGTATCGCGCCACGTAGTCCCTCAATGATTCCCCTTCTTTCTGCTGCATACCTATCAAAGTAAGGTAAGACTTTTCTTGAGCTTTTACACTTGCGAATTGGTTTAGGAAACTCGAGCTAAATCCATCGAAATCCCTGACGGCCCCTGGGGGCAATTGATGAAACCAATCCTGCGCTGGTCCTCGCAGGGTCGTCAGGAATGCTCGACACTGAACGGGGTCGTTATATCGGTGCAATACTGCCATGTTTTCGAAACTTCTGAGATGTCGAGAGGGATCAGTCGACCCATCATACCAGATATTGAGCTCCCGGAACCCTTGAGGCAAGTCGGCATCTAGAATATGTTGTGAAAAAGGGTGTCCCCTCGAGCTTCCCATTTTTCTTCCTTCCACCCGAGCCTGCAAGTCTCGGACCTGTGCTAACAGCTGCTCCAGCGTGTCGTTTCTGGCTTGTGGATTAACGGTTCTGACAGAGGACTCCTCCTCATCTACCCTCCTGTTCTGCCTTTCATGTGATTGTGCCTGTTGTTCGCGTTCAGGGGGTTGCTGCTTATTTTGAGGTTGTTCGATCCTAGCTTGCTCGATTTGGGGTTGCTCCACCCTGGGTTGCTCGACTGGTGTTTGTTTGATTTGGGCGGCTACAGCTTCGGCAATCATCCTCTGCATCTCGCTCCGTGTTATGGTCAACATTTGCTCCTCGCTTTGGGGCAGCGGTCTCTTTCCTGGCTCGAGCGGTCCAGGCTGCTTTCCCAGACTTAGGAGCGTCTCGGTTGACTCACGACCGTTGACTTCTCCGCTCGTGCTCCTCACGTGACTGGCCTCCCCTTGAGTGAGCACTGGGATCTTGACTCCTGGTGGGGTGATAGGCGTTTCTCCCCCATACGCCCTCCTGACGGCGCGTGTGCCCCAAACGGTGGGAAACCGAACACTTGGAGCGGTGGTCTGGGGTTGGGAATCGGCGGAGGTCGCTTGTCAGTCCATGCCGCCCTAAAATCTTCGTTCAAGTATTTCTGCGGTCCTTCCTTGTCAGACATCGGAAACAGATCCAAACTAGGTGTAAAGCTCTTACTTCCTTCAAGAACACCCCACAGACGGCGCCAAATGATGGGTCTCTTCTCAGATCTGGAACGGCCCGATGAGAGAACGTTCGGATCTGGGATGAACCGGAGTGAATGAGCTCAGATCTGATTTGATGGCCTTCGAACCGTTGTTGAACCGCAAGAACACCTGCTAGAACTCAACGCCGGAGGGATTTTCGGCGTAGAGCCTCCGACGCTCAAGTCAGTATGTGAAAAGAGTGAAAAGAGCTGCTCTGAGGAAGCAACAACAATGAGGGAGAATGTGGAATGAATGGGAGTTAGGGTTTTGGAGTTACCTCAGCTCCTTTATATAGAAGCAAAACATTTACCTGAAGTCCCCAAAATGCCCTGGCTGACTTACTGGAAATGTCCAAAATACCCTGGTCGGTTCGCATTCCGTCCACTTCCTAGTCAGCATCTAGATTCTTTCTTATCTTTGGTAGCTTCCTTCTTATCCTTAACTGTCCTTCGATATGTTGAAGTGTACTGGAGTCGTCGAGATCTTATGAGCTTCAAGACTTCCTCAGTCGACTCGGGGTATCAACTCGAGTCGACTGGGTCATATTCGATTGTTAGTAGATCCTCACGTGTTTGACCGTCTTTCAAGAGGAAATCCACTTTTGCTAGTCGACATGTGGAAGTCGACTGGGAGAGATGCCTGGATCCTTGACCGGAGATACCATAAAGAGTCTGCGGATAGAGTCGACTTCGCGTAAGTCGACTCGGTAATCTATGAACCGCGATGGTATTGAACCGTTACACGACAGTATGGCTATATCATATATATATATATATATATATATATATATATATATGCAATTCTAAATAATTCTATGCACACAAGGCAACTATTATTCCCATGCATAAATAAACAAATAAATAACTAATGCCATAAATAAATATCCACTATTATGGCCAATTAAATATTTATTCTCCTTGGATTAGGATTTCTGTCCTAAACCAACTGGAACTCCCACTGCAGTAGAATCCCGGTTGACTTGTACTGCAAGTTCCACAAAACCTCCACCAGTAGAAGCCGTGGCCGCGCCGGCCAGCCTTGGATCCCGGCTCCAGTTTCTTCCTTGCATTGTCGAGTCTCTTTGGATCTTTGTGAAGGCCCGGTCTCCAACGGTCGATCACAATTCGAAAAATATAATTTACAAAATTACATAAATCGATTCCTAGATCCAACGAGTGGATGTACATGCCTTCTACTAATTAATTAAACTATCCGGTCAACCCCCGGGCAATTAATACAAGCATTCATCCATAATTCCTCGACAATCCCGAGGCTTTAAAAACAAATTTAAAACCATACAACCAACCATCAGTTAAGCACAAGCACATAAAAGGGTGGCCACAATAGTGGATTAACTACTTCCTGCAAAACCAAGTTATGCATATAATCCAATATATATGGCTGCGCTTGAGCACACATAGACAATATAAGCAGTTTAATCCGGATCTTGTACACAACGGATTAACCTCAATCTCTGATACCAATTGTTGGGACACATGAGGATCTCGATATGCACAAATTACGGACAAACATTCAACATAAACCTATGCGCAGCGGATCTAAAGGTTTGATGAAGAAAACTTACTGCTTAAAATTTATGTAGATCTGGCTGGCCCGAACAGTTGACTGCAAATCAAATCTTCCTGGAATCGAACAAACTTGACCAATCCTGAAAGCTGGCATCACGGCGAAGTCAACGGCGTTGACCGATCGGAAATCAGACAGTTCACGCGCTCTCACGCGCGCGAGTAAGCTCTAGCAGCTGCTCCCTTCCGGTGGCGCGTGGCGGCGCGTGCGGCGGCGGCTGGCGGCGATCTCGACGGCGATCTTTTCGTCTCGTCGTCCTGGTCGTCGTGGTATGGTCACTTGCTGGTTTTGGTCTCCGGTTTGGATGTATGATAGATCTGATTGGAATCTCGTATATACCTTAAGATCTTCTACTGTATTCTCAAACAGCTATCTAGATCTTGTATCAGTGGAGCAAAAGAAATATAAATACTCCTTGGAAGAGAGAGAGAGAGGGCTGGACGTGTTTCCCAAGGTTGTGGGATTCTCTCCTCTTCCATGAGCCTAATGCTGTATATATAGAGCTACAGTAGGGACCCTAAGGAGAATAGGATAAGGGATTCTAATATATTAATGCTGTGGAGAAACCCCACAATTAATATATTAATAATATTAAAGTCCACCACAATAATATTATTGCACTCCCCTCACCTATCCCAAATTACATTTGAGACTCCTTATTATAATTATCCGATTTACCTCCCCATGTTTAAGATATAATGTCCATTAATTAATTCGATTACTAACAATCAAGAATTAATTAATATATTATATTACCGAAGCTGGCGCTCGCTCATAGCATTTATATTATGCCGGAATAAATCCACCTACAGGGTTTAGCATAATATTCCTTCATGAACTCACTTCGGGGACATCATCATACTAACGCACATGGTGACCGTAAATATCCTAATAGCACATCGAACACATAATGTCATTACCCAATTCATTAAGTATGTCGACCCGACTTGGATCTCAAATAATCAAAGCAACAACAATTATGTGCACATGCCTATTTAATATCTTACGGGTTAAGAGCACGCAATAATTAACTGAGGCCTAGTTCGTTTACGACGATCAGCATAAAACGAACATCCCTCTCTGGGATCCTGTTCAATACATAAATGTACTAGTACAACTAATCGGTCAAGACAAACCGTACGGTTGACACTACAACCGTTCCGATGGGTTGTTCAATTCCATCAAGGTTGTGAACCAATGATTCTTGTTTCGCAAGTAACTGATATAGTGATCTTCGGTATGCCCGATGACGACCCACTTATCTACATGCAAAACAACAGAACGTGGAACTTATTTAACCAAACATAATTCTCATTCATCAAGAAATAACAAGTGTAATATCCACTAAAGCAAAGCTTAAGTATATAACACCAACAGCCACCTGGGTCGCACCCAATCCCAATCACAACCACTCACCTCCTGGAAGCCACCCACCAACCCGGCGCGCAATGAACAAGTCCCCACCTCAGAGAACCAGGAAACGGGACCACCGTCGGCAAGAAGGAAGCGGCGAGATCTGCCAACGGGCTTAGGAGTGACACCATCGGCGCAGGAGCACTGGCAAGCGTTAAATTGGGACGGGATGTCGAAGTTGTGGGTCATCCGCCGGCGAAAGGGCCGGCTAATCGCCGGGGAAGGCGCGCGATAAAATGAATTAAGGGGACCGCTGCAAGGGTTTCTTGAGGAGAAGAAAGGAGATCGAGATTTTTTTGATGTTAATAATGTGTATCTTAATTAATATATTTTACACTTAATATATAACTCATGTAATTAAAATATATTTTTGTAATTTTGAATTTTTATTTGATACTTTATAATGTTATCTGTTAAAATTGAATGATAAAATTTTTTAAATAAATTGATTTTGAACGCATTAAAGTGCATTTCGTCTAACGTTGTAGTGCAATCTGACATTAACTAATGTGCAAAATGATTACTAATACTGTGCAATAGATTCCAGTTTGTTATGTTCAAATCCATACTAAAAATAAACTAAAATAATTTTATTATTCGGTTGGCTGATCGCATTAACATAACTTGTTAAATATTTTAACTATTTATTATTATAAAAAAAATGTATTTTATTATTTTTATATTTTTATTATTTTTGGTTAAAAATTACAAATTTTATATATGTATAAAAAGATATAAAAATAATATCATTTTACATATTTTTATTAAATTACATGTTTGATCAAGGGGTTAAATTGAAAAATAATGAAAATTTTAAAATTTGCAATTAGACCCATGTGAAATGTCAAAATCTAAAAAAAAAACCCCACCCTCAAAACACGTTTCACGTGTTTCTGGCCAATTCGGCCATGGTCCTTGCCGTCGTTAATCACTCGGTCGATATGACGTACATCTTCTCGTCGGTGATGTGCTCAATCGACCGGATTTTTTCTGCAATCGGGATAATGAAATCGCCGCCGTCGGAGAGCATCAGATTTTGTCGGGTGGCCGTGGGGCGCTGATGAGGACAGGGCTGCGACGAGCTGCTCGCTGGTGCATTTTTTATGGCGTGGGATTCGCTGGTGCTGAAGCGGACGGCCGTTGTGTTGCCTGCCGGCGGCAGCAATTCTCCGGGCCGCAATATGTCAGTATAATCTGGCGGTGGTGGGGACGCTTCGGCGGGTAGAAATGAAGGCGGTTGTGGCTGGATGCTCTTGTCGTTGGCGGCAGTGACCGGGCGACGGCGACTGGGCAGAAGCGGC